CGCTAGCCGGCTATAGTACGGCAAATAGTAGGTTTAATCCGCTTAGGAATTATAGTAATAATATCCGCAATTAGGGCGGGATTTAAGGTATCGTCTTCAACGGTAGTGGGAGCGGGAATGGGGTTCGTAATTAGTATATCCGTAACTAATATACTAGAACCGACTACTTTAATTATATTTTATACAATTTCGTAATAACGTATATAAATATACTTCTAAACCTTAAGCGCGTACTATAAAGAAGGCGAAAAATCAATAGGAAGGCAGCAGTCTATATATTAATTAATAAAAGTAATAGCACTATCTAGCTATAATATAGTAAGGTTATAAAATTTAAGTTATAATATGCCTAAAATAATAAAATAGTCGTCGGCTAGGTCGTAGGCCAATATAACGATCGTTTCTATATAGTAACCGATCTATAATTAGATTTTATAATAATAGGTAATAAAGTCCTTAAATATATTGTCTACTAAATATAAGGCTTTTAATTTAAGGAACTTCAATAGCGGAATAATATAGCGAGCGGTAAAATTGTAATTGATAAAAGCGAAAGTAGAATATCCGTTATTAATTAAAATAATATATTTACTACGTTAATTATATAGTTTATAAATAATTTAAATAAAGAGGAGGATAGAATTATTATTATAATTATTTAAATTTAAATTCTTAAATTAAATTACTTTTAAATCTACTAAATTAATTTCCTCCTCCTCTATTATTACTACGGACAACGGCCTCTCTAAACGATTTAATAGAGAGGCGGCATATTTCCCGCATTATATTCCGTAAATTAAGTAGGAATTAGAGTAAGGAATATAATAGGAGCGGCGGGCTTATTAGTAGCGATGGCGTTAATACGAATATTATTATTACTATTATTACCGTTACCGGTCTAGCTTATAGCGGGTTTACTACAATTATTATTACCTCCTCTAATATAATAATTATAACGTTCGCACTCCCTTTATTCTTTAGGGATATTAATATTAATACTATTATAATATTTGTAAATATAGTAGTTAATTTAAGTATAGCGCTTATAAAATCTATTTTTTATATAATAATTAATAATTACCTTATCGATTATATAAAATAATTAAATGTTAATAGCGTTTATAATGTTGAAATCTATAGTAATACTATTTTAATTAATAGTACGTTCAAGGGTAGCGGTATTACTAGTACTAACGGCGCCGTTTTTAAAGTAAATATTAATTTTATTATATTAATTATACTCCTTTAAATTAGTAGCGAATTTACAATAGAAGATAAATTATCCGTCGAAATCGTTATAAATCGGGGTATTTTACTAATAAACGATAATATCGTAAATTTCGTTCGTAACTTTTATCTTTAAATAGTATATCTTTATTACGTTATTGAAATCGTATTTATTAATAATAGTAATAAATTTATCTTCGAAATCGAATTATCTAATACCCTTAAATATTTTAAAGGATTTAAAATCCCGGTATACTTCGAAGGTGAAGTCTATATAATTATACTTCGTACCGAAGTATTCGAAAAAGGCCTCCGCGCTTACTTACTTTTACTTCGTTGGGTCTACCTCTTTAATAATAGGTATTACGTAGGGGGCTAAAGTCCTAAAGGCATTACCGCCGAAGTACGAAAGGATTTAAACGAATTTATAATACTTATTTTAATTGAATTACTAAGCGTCCTAGAACTAATAAAACTAAATCTTATCTTTCCAATCTTAGAAAGCCTCGGCTTTTTTAACGGTAAAAGTATCCTCGCCGGTATAGGCGGTGGGGTCTTTATTAATACGGGACTTAAGGGTAGCTATTTCTTTGTTGTCGGAATTGGAAGCGGGGATGGAAGCGGGTATAATAATTTTATTACGAATAACCTTTTTAAAGGCCCTAATTTAAATTTCAACGGTTTTCTTAAATTTAATATTAATTTCGTTAATTATAACGAAATTACTATAGAATTACTAGGCCTCCTATTAAAGGTTAGCGAATTCCTATTAAAGGTTAGTAATAATACCTTCTTAATTAGTAATTTATTAATAGGCGGCTTCGAAGGAATTTTAGGCGGCGCTAGCGAACGTATTAATTTAAATTAAGTCCGAATAAATTAATTAAATAAAAGCAATAATAACGTAGGGAAAAGTAGTATATTAGACGAATTTAAAAGCGGTATTAAAAACTTCCTCTGCGATTAGGTTATTTAGGTATTAGAGAGCGGTACCGTTAAAGGTTTCCGTAACGTTTTCGAAAAATTATTCGTATTTAAAGCCAACGATAGTATTAATCGTAGAAATAATAACGTCGAAATTAATAATAGGGGCCGCTATTTAAATAATTATAATCGTTCTAATTAGTATTTATTATTTTATAGCGTAAATAGTATCCGTTAACTACCTTATAGCAATGAAAGAGAGGTCTATCGCAATACGACGAAAAAGAAATATAATTGTAGTACGATAAAAGAGAAGTATAGTCGCGGTACGACGGATTTTGATCGTAGTGCGATGAAATCGCAAGCTCGTCGGAAATATTTATAACGGCGGCGATAAATTTATTTTAAAGTATACGTACGCAACGTAATAGTAAGGTACAACTAATTATTATGGGGTAGGACACCGTTAAGGGTGAGGTTAAATAAACGTAGTTGTACGAGGAAGGAAAGAAGGAGAGGAGGGAGGAGTGCGGTCTAGATATAGGGCAGGCTATACTGTACCTAAATCCAGACCGAAGCCCACTAGTGCGTGCATGCAATCCCATTGGCCAATGGCCAATAGACTCGACCATGCAGTGCCCAGTGCTATGTGCCATCACAGGTAATCCTGTGATAATACGCTTACTAAATAGTCGGTTATATATAGGCGATTCTAAATAGTTTATAGCGGAGAAGGCCCGCTTATAAGGTACGTTATTAGCGGGAGTATTGAATATTCTTATAGTAAACGGCGTAATAAGTAATTAACGGTCTAAAAGGTATTGTTAGAATTGCTTAGGCGGTAAATCGAAATTTTAAATTTTAATATTAGGTATATAAATACTTATATAAATCTTAAAATTTAAGAAGTCTATAATAACCTTTAGTAGCGGGCGGTTAAAGTAATAGCTATACTATTATAGGAAGCTAATTGCTATAGTTTAAATTAATTAGATAGGAGGGCGAACTAAAGTTATTACTACTATAGTAATTGTTAATAGTAATAGGAAGCCCAATTAATTCAATAGAGTTAACTATTTTATTTATTTAATAATATAGAAGCGTTCGAACTCCTATTAATCGTTAGCGAGGATTCTATATTAAAATTATATTTAATTTTCCTAAACCTTTATTTATTTAAGTATAGTATAATTAATATATATATAATTAGCCTCTAATTAAAGTTGAACTTTATAGAAAGGCAATAGAAACCGCTCGAGGGTATTGAGACCGTATTAGAACTATATATTTTCAATAATATTAATAATATACTTAATTTAGATAGGATCTTCGCCCGGCGCGTTATAGTACTAACTTTCAAACTGTATTAAGCGAGCCTAAGTTTAAAGTACTAGTTTTATACGGTGGACTAAGTCGACCAATCTATACTATAAACCCTATTAAATAATTATATTAATTTAGTTAGTTTACTATATTAAATAAATAATAAATAGATTATTTACCTAATTAGGATAGTAAGGATCCTTCTAATATATAATAGTATTAGAGCTCTTAACCGCGATAATTATAATTTCGAAGTACGAAAATAGTTAATTAGGGTAGCAACTTATTGAACTAGCGTTTTAAAGTAGGGAAGGCCGAATATATCTTTTATAAGTAGTTAAAGCGAATATAAATTATATAAGACTACGAAGGAGTAGCGGAAATAGTTATTAGCAAAAAGTTCCTATATTACGCGACGAATTCTATTATAAGTATTAATAATAAATACATTAATTTTTACAATTTACCCCTCTATAAGTTTATTAATAGCGTTGCTTACGATAGTTACGAAATTAACGGACGTATATTTAGTCGAATTAATATTTTTATTAAATTAGAAGAAAAATAGATTATTAGGGATAATAAAAGAAATATTAAGGATCCGACGGTTAATATAATCATTATTTTCGTTAAAGAAGATATTAATAAGAAATTAGGGGTTAATATACGTTTCTTTAAATTAGGTTCGTATAGATTAATATACTTTAGGCAATTAGGTTTTGCGGATTACTACGGTTATTGGCGGGGTATAAAGTAAGATAAGTGCGTAGAGGAATGTTTTTATAGGAGAACTTTCAAATAGGGTAAATCCCCTACTATTGAAGAAAATTATTTTTATAGCGTAGAGGTCGATTTTAGCCTTTTAAGTAATAATTAACAATAATATATATTTATGAATATTATTACGTTATTAAATTTATTATTGTATTTAGTATTGTTAATACTTTACGTAATTAGAGAAATACTAGTACAATTGAATTATATTAGCGGTAATTCTATAATCGTAGTAATTATAGTAGGTAGTCTACGTAATAAACCTATTTTCGTAAATAAGGCGAAACTCTTTATAAATAGTTTTATTAGTTGGTTAGCGGATTAGAGGTATTGCGATAGGGGGTTTCTTGGTACGGGGAATCGAAATATCGAGTCGTTACTTAAAAAAGTAGTATTTTTAACGATTTACCCTGCTTAAATTTACTAGAGTTTAATAGATAGACCGTGTATATGTGCCTAGAGTATACGGACTCGTGCACGGATCACTTACTAGCGGTCAGATACAGTATCGTAAGGGAAATGAAAGAATGCCATTTTTTCCGTTTCTATCGATCCCTAGCTGGAACTGCTCACCGAAAAAAAAAGGGGTAAGTGGGGTCACGCCATGTCATCATACGGCACACATCGAGCGGCATGGCTTGGCGCTGTGAGGCATCGAAGTCATCGGAAGCGCAAAGAAACGCACCGCTGGTAAAAAGGCAGCAAAGCACGCAGGTAAAAGCAAAAAGAAGTTGAAAAAAGTGCAAAAAATGAGGTCGTGCCCGGGTTCGAACCGGGGTTACCGGAAGAATTGAAGTTGTTACATTTCAAAATCCAGAGTGATAACCACTACACTACACAACCCTTGATGTGTTTGTTGACATACAACCTCGGATTCGCACATTATGTGCGACAAGTTACAATTACGTCATCTCACAAAAACACAACACAACACAAGCATTCAACCTTCGCAATTGAAGAGCGCAGCCTTCTTTTCCTTCTCTTTTTCCTTACTGTCTGCATTTCTCGTTATCGGCGGGGAATTATTTTTGTTTTACATTCATGCGGATTTCAATCCTATGCCCCTGAGTTCTATCGAACCGCGGAGAGATCGTTTGCATCGGTCCCTCTTGTCATGGGCATCATTTTACCCGCCTCCGCGCATCTTGCTCCCAACAAGCTCCCTGTGGAGAGTGACGACGTATTCGCACCATCTTCTGGTGTTTTCAAAACATTCGGTTTGCGTTTCATAACGATAACACCGCAGCTTTCAATTCTTGCGGATATTCATGACATGGAAATAACCATCGTGGTATTGGGACAGCGATCGTAGATAGTCGCAAGCTTCATATGATTCGTTCCATGTATTGGAAAGTAGTACTACTTCCGGCTACGTCCCTTGATGTTGGTGAATGAGATGCATCCTTATCACAGCTTCCATTGTTTTCAGCGCAACTGCGATAGTGCAGTAACTTCCGTCTGTCACACAAAATCATCCCTTCAACTTTGTCGTCCAGCCAAACAGTATAGATCAGTTCAGAATAGTGGCGCCTTGAACATGGCATCAAAATATTCACCACGCAATTCCGGACCTGTCCAATCTCTACCTTGACCTTAACACCCTCGGTGCTCAACCTAACGCCATCCCTCTATAGGTACTTCTCACACAGCCTGTTCATATCTTCAATCATGCTATCCATCCATTGTCAGCCAACCTCAAAGTAAACACATCCATTCAGAAGTCAAATCACTTACGCCTTCATAACCCTCGCGGGCTCATCCTGACCAGGAAACAAACAACAAAAGTGCAATTCGAACCGACTATACCAACACTCGTCAGCATCCTCACCACTCAGTCCATCACACTAAACCGAGGGGAGGAAAGAGAAGAGACGAAAACTCACAAAGAATACAATCTCACCCGATCCTCAAACTCCCCCCTCGGTTCCGCGGGCGAATACAACCTCTTATACTCCCTCACAAACTCGCCCTCCAAGCCCCCAAACCTACACCTATCTGGAACCCAGTTGCCAAGTTCATATTCGTTATGGGCGTAAAATGCTGCCGGGTCGAAGATCACTGGTGTCCCTCCCGTGTCCATGTTAATGCCTGTGTTTCCAAGCCATAAATCCCCATGCACCAGACACGGCTTTACTGGCTCGCCCGTTACTGAATCTTTTAGTCTTTCTGGGGATAAAAGGTGGGGGATGACTACCGCGCACACCCTATTAACTGCATTTCTCAACTCGTTATTCACCCTTTCCAAGCCACCGCCGGTTCCATTGACTTGAGAGGTGATGCGCTCGTACGAATCAACCATCCACCGCAACCCCTTCACAAAGAAAAAATCCCAACGCTCTTCCCACTCAACCGGCTGCTCGATGTTACCATTACAGGTAGTCACCCCAAACCCGAATTTTCCTGTAGGACTAGTGCCGGCGGTGGATTTGTGCAGCTGGGCTAGGCGGGAGCAGAAGGCGTGTGGGTTCAAGGGGTGGGAGGGAGACATGGGGATGTAGGCTTCTAGGAAGAAGTAGGATGGTTGTTCGTCGTCGTCGTTGTCACTGCAAGGTCCGAAAGCGATAGGGTTGGGAGCAAATTCCGGAAGAGCCTCGTGAAGGGCCGTCATGCCGGCGAATTCGCCGGTGAACATCTTCTTGGCGATTTGGCCGCGGGTGGTTTTGAGAAAAAAGTAGGCTGGGACGGGATCACTGCCACCAGTGTCTTTAGGGGTCGAAGGAGAGAAGGTGGTTTCGATCTTGGCGGTTTGACACCAAAGGGAACCACCGAGGGCGGTGGCTTGGATGAAGGTGTAAGCTGGGAGAAGGGCTGTTGAGCCTATGTTAGAGAAACATGGAAGAACAGAAGGCTGAAGAGTTGGTGTGAGCGTGAAGCATACCGGCAATGATAGCTGGGTCGACATTAATTGGCTGGCCTGTGCTTTTGTTTGTCTTTTTGGCTAGTATGGCTGCTTGGTGGTCGGCCTTTGTGTCGACGGAGGGGAGGTTCGTAGACGACATGATGTCTCGCTGGATGTGATCAGTGTCGCCTGTTTCAGATTGCTGGTGAGGTGAATAGAAGTTCAAGCAATGGTAGCTATAAGTATCGTGGAGGATGCGATGAAGTTGGAAATGGGGTTGATGCGGGAGGCCAACAGTGAAGGTTGCAATGGAATGCACGACTCCCAACGACTTGTCGAGCGAGCCTTGTTGAATGGTACAAGCCCTGCCAGCCAACAAGGTGGCACGCTTTCCAATCATGTCGTAGCAAACGACAGGGTTTGTTTACCTATTTGATATAGCATGTACAGTCTAATGCTGGTTTGTTTGTTAGATCGGTACGCCTGGTCTGCTGGACGAGAGCTCCCCTAAACTGTCATAACCCCGTTTACGGAAGAAATAATGGCTGTATACCTACGGTTGGAAAGGGCGTTGATAAAAATCAATATGGGACAAATGCATGAGTGGCGTGCCGAGTGCGAGTTGTGTCAGTCCGAGACCCAACAGATAGACTGATGCCTTTACGCCGTTCTCGGCGTCCTCGATGTAACCACCCACATCTTGGTCTGAAAGAAGGTCCCCAAACGGCTCGCCAAACCCAATATGGCTGATGACATCGAGGGCGAGGTATTGCGTTTTCTTTCCCAGATCGAATGGATTCGTCAGCTCGGTACTCCTAGCATACCTATTGGACGAGATCCATCCCAAACCTCACATGTTACAAAACATAATGGCTAATTACGACTTGGAGAGGTATTGATAAAATTCGAAATGGCATATCCAAGGTAAGATGGTGCGTCTGATATAGAACGTTTAGTTAGATATGTAAACGCCTAGGAAGGTTGAAGGTTGACTAGAGGTCTCGAGCTAACAAACAATGGAAACCAGTATTGGACTGTATGTGGTTGTTTTGAAGGAATTTGGAACGGTGACATGGAACCGTTCGAGCAACCCCGCTTGCAGGGTCGGGATGCAGCCGCCCGAAGCTGCCCGACCTACCTACCTCTAGGGAATGGAAGAAATCTTCGAACTCACCTCCATCACTCCTAGGTTTGAAGCTCTTACAAAGTCCTGATGCGAAACACAACTTTCGTATGAGTAGCTGTCTACCTTGATTTGCATCTGGTACTATGATTCTTTTGCTTTATAGGCTCGCGTACATTTCAGTTGATGCCACGGCAGTCTTCTGTTCAGCAGACAAGACACCTCAATGGTTTCCGTTGGCAGCTGCGGCCAAACGCGCTCCTGCCAGATCGACACCTGCTATCGGATGCGAGACATCTCCGCCGGCAGCGACTGCTCTTCCTCTTACTCTTTTACTTGTCATACATACAAGACTCTGACACCATTCGAAGTTCTTGGCGGAACGCTTTATGGGGTACTGCATGATGGACGCAAGGTTAAAGACTGTTAGGCTCAGTTGCTGTCCTGTTACAGACACCTCCCAATTCCCGTTGACAAAGGCATCCGTTGGTTCATCTTGCTAACCAAAGGCTGAATGAACATTGCACTAGCAGAGACAATCACGGACTTGATGGGGGGAATGTCCGATACCCGAATCAATACGGCGTGCAGTGTCAATATGACGACCGTGGTTCCTATTGATGTTTCTGGAGGCTCGCTCTTTCCTTTTTGACATTTCCCCGTTTGGCCCTGCACCTCTTCTCTAGAACAGTCGCGACTGCCAATTGCTATCCAAGCCATAGCCTACAATGTTCATTACACCCCAAGAAGCCCACTCGATCTCTGTGCGCGCGGGACAGGGCGATCTTGCTGGACTTGCCGCTGTCGTCAAAAGTCTTGCTCGGCGGGAAAATGTGACCGAAGCAGAAGTCTTGATTTCTTGCAAGGACGACTTCCAGAGAACGGCGGCGCATATTGCAGCCCAGTTGGGCCAAAGGTGTAAGTATCGACCCCTCCACTGCCAGCATTATGCTAGAGACTCTAACGGAGCATATCGGTCTCAGCTTCGATCGAGGCATTGGCAGTCCTGCTCGGCTCCCAAGAAAACAAGACCACATACTTCAACATGGCCAATCGCTTTACGGGCGACCGGCCGGTACATACAGCAATGCGTTTCGGCTACCTCGACGTGTTGAGGGCACTGGTCGCCCATGGTGCTGATCCGACAGCCAAAAACCGATTTGGAGATTCGGTACTGGACTATCCGGGCGATTATGAGATGGACGAGGCCAAGAGCATTGTCGACGAGTACAGGGCAAACTCTCCGCAGACCGTGGCATGAGGGGAGCAACGCATTCACGGATGATGTACGAAGTTGGAAGAGAAGGCATCAACAACTAAGTCGTTTCTGTAAGGCCCAAACACACCACACGTTCCCGATTGTCCACCTGTTCCTCGTTCCCACGCTAGCAGGTGTCGTCCGTGCTAGAACCCTTGGGAAGGTGGCCGTTCCCAAGGCGGGTCATAGAGGACATTGCATTGGGTGCTCTCCTTCCTTGTGAAGATGGAGACCGACAAATTTGATGCTATCTTACTGCCCCAAATTCCTTTTGTTACCTTACCTTCGAGCACAAAGCATCATTCCAAAGACAGGCTTTTGGCTGACCAGTTTGCATGGTACTTAAATCTTTTATCATTTTGACATCGCCTCCATGACCTCGACACTTGTAGCAACTCGCTCGAGGATCCCAATCCTCCGCGCGGCCAGACACGCCAGTATACCGGTTGCGAAGCCGCTAAGATCTCCACCACTCAGAATAACGATACCTTTGGTGAAGATGGCGGACAGGCCTGCCTCCACAGTCCACAACGGGATCGGAGCCGTCCCAACCAGCATGAAGCAAATAGGAGTCGCCAATCACTTGATTATCGAGGCTCCTGGTGTCGAACTGTCTCCGTACA